GTGAGTGTGTGTGTGTCCTGTGATGGACTGGTGTCCTGTCCAGGGTGTGTGAGTGTGTGTGTGTCCTGTGATGGACTTGTGTCCTGTCCAGGGTGTGTGTGTGTGTCCTTGATAGACTGGTGTCCTGTCCAGGGTGTGTGTGTGTGTCCTTGATAGACTGGTGTCCTGTCCAGGGTGTGTGTGTGTGTCCTGTGATGGACTGGTGTCCTGTTCAGGGTGTATCTGGCCTTGTGCCTGTTGTATGCTGGGATAGGCTCCAGCTCCCCTATGACCCTGTACTGGAGAGCGCTGTTCGATGGCTGGATGTCATTAGCGGAGAGTCTCCACCACCCACAGCAGGGATTGAAGATCTTCCTGAGCAGCAGCTTCAGTAACTGGGAGTGGAGGGATGAATCCTGAACTTCCCAGTAGCCACCTGGAATTCTCCCAGCTCCCACCCCGGAGCTGCGCTCAAACCCGGCCGGGTCTGATTTTCAGTAACAGCAGGAATCTGGGCGCTGGTGGTCTCTATCTGCATCACAGCTTTCTCCTTTCACTCCCCCGCACACAGAGAGCGCCTCGGCCTCCCACTCGCTGGTCTACACCTCCACAGCAGTGTCGGAAGCGGGGCTCCTCTCCCAGCTCTTGATCTCCAGGGTGCTGGACCAGCAGACGGTCTCTCACTGGGACAGCACCTCCCAGAGAGAGACTCGCACCCGCCACTGGCCCAGCGGAGCTGCTGGCCTCGAAGACATCGACTATGAGCTCGAGGAGACAGAGAACAGGGAGAGGCTGCAGGGAATCCTGAGGAAGAGGAGCAACATGGGGAAAGGTCAGTCAGCCTTCCGCACTGTCCTCTGTCCTCTGTCCTCTGTCCTCTGTCCTCTGTCCTCTGTGTGTGTGTGTGTGTGTGTGTGTGTCAGTGTCCCCGCTCTCTGTGTGTGTGTGTTTGTGTGTGTGCGCGCGCGCGCGTGTGTGACAGTGTCCTCTGTCTCTCTGTGTGTGTGTGTCACTGTCCTCGGTCTCTCTCTCTTCAGATGTGCTGTGATCTGGGGGATAATGGGAGTGTGCGTCTGTAGTGTTAGTCTCTGTGCGTGTGTCAGTGTCCCCACTCTCTCTGTGTGTGTGACAGTGTCCTCTGTCTCTGTGTGTGTGTGTCACTGTCCCCGCTCTCTCTGTGTGTGTGACAGTGTCCTCTGTCTCTGTGTGTGTGTGTCACTTTCCCCGCTCTCTGTGTGTGTGTGTGACAGTGTCTTGGTCTCTCTCTCCAGATGTGCTCCAGAGGTGTCGAGGCTGTAGACTGGAGGATGATGGGAGTGTGGCTCTGTTTGATCACTATGGCTTCAATGGAAAATACTTCCTGTCCTTTGAGGTGGACAATATGATCTGGAGAGCAAGTTCCCTACAGGCAAAGGACACTCAGAGGGACTGGAACCAGAACAGGGTTAAAAACCAGTATACAAGATTCTTCCTGGAGATTGACTGTATGGAAACACTGAAGAGATTCCTGGAGTTCAGAGAAATAGACAAGAACCACACAGGTGAGACAGAGAGATATCAGATACAATAGGAGACAAATGCCCCTAGAAGCTCTGCACAAGGAGTTTTGCAGAGGAGTGGGTGGCACAGTGCAGTTTCTGGGGTGCTGTCTGTGTGGAGTTTGCATGTTCACCTCATGTTTGTGTGGGTTTCCTCCCTGGTGGGTAAATTGGCTTATGGGAAACTGGCTCGTGTATGAGTATGCATCTGTGTCTGTGTGAATGTGATTGCTGTGTGATTCTGTATGAACAGGACGTGTCTGCAGTACTACAGTCCTAGTGTGATCTCCTGTCCCAGCCTGAGGAACAGACAGTGAGCCTGTCTCTCAATAATAATACAGTGTGTGATCTCCTGTCCCAGCCTGAGGAA